CTACTGCTATCTACTGCTGCTATCTACTGCTGCTATCTACTTCTATCTACTGCTGCTATCTACTGCTGTTATCTACTGCTGCTATCTACTGCTATCTACTGCTGCTATCTACTGCTGCTACCTACTGCTGCTATCTACTGCTGCTATCTACTGCTGCTATCTACTGCTATCTACTGCTATCTACTGCTGCTATCTACTGCTGCTATCTACTGCTGCTATCTACTGCTATCTATCTACTGCTATCTACTGCTGCTATCTACTGCTATCTACTGCTGCTATCTACTGCTGCTATCTACTGCTGTTATCTACTGATGCTATCTACTGCTTCTATCTACTGCTATCTACTGCTGCTATCTACTGCTTCTATCTACTGCTGCCATATACTGCTATCTACTGCTATCTACTACTGCTATCTACTGCTGCTTTCTACTGCTGCTATCTACTGCTGCTATTGCTAATGTATGTTGATGTTGATGTTGATGTGATGTTGATGTGGTGTTGATGTGATGTTGATGTTGATGTTGATGTGATGTTGATGTGATGTTGATGTGATGTTGCTGTGATATCAGTAGCCCATGGCTATCTACTACTGCTATCTACTGCTGCTATCTACTGCTATCTACTGCTGCCATCTACTGCTATCTACTGCTATCTACTGCTGCCATCTACTGCTGTTATCTACTGCTGCTATCTACTGATATCTACTGCTATCTACTGCTGCTATCTACCGCTATCTACTGCTGCTATCTACTGCTGCTATCTACTGCTGCTATCTACTGCTGCTATCTACTGCTATCTACTGCTATCTACTACTGCTATCTACTGCTGCTATCTACTGCTGCTATCTACTGCTGCTATTGCTAATGTATGTTGATGTTGATGTTGATGTGATGTTGATGTGGTGTTGATGTGATGTTGATGTGATGTTGATTTGATGTGATGTTGATGTGATGTTGATGTTGATGTTGATGTGATGTTGATGTGATGTTGATGTGATGTTGCTGTGATATCAGTAGCCCATGGCTTCATGTTGCTCAGCATGACCATTTGTGCAACTACAGACACAGCACATGGGACACACACACACACACACTGACCACTGTGTCATAAAAATACAATATACGGTATTTTAGGTGTTTTACCATTCAAAACTGTATTGCTTGTGCGCTATGGGTACATTAGGTACATTGAGTACTCAGCCTAACAAATACAATGTTTCTACTGCTGCTATCTACTGCTGCTATCTACTGATATCTACTGCTGCTATATACTGCTATCTACTGCTGCTATCTACTGCTATCTACTGCTGCTATCTACTGCTATCTACTGCTGCTATCTACTGCTATCTACTGCTGCTATCTACTGCTGCTATCTACTTCTATCTACTGCTGCTATCTACTGCTGTTATCTACTGCTGCTATCTATGCTACTAACTGCTGCTATCTACTGCTGCTACCTACTGCTGCTATCTACTGCTGCTGCTATCTACTGCTGCTATCTACTGCTATCTACTGCTATCTACTGCTGCCTATCTACTGCTGCTATCTACTGCTGCTATCTACTGCTATCTATCTACTGCTATCTACTGCTGCTATCTACTGCTATCTACTGCTGCTATCTACTGCTGCTATCTACTGCTGTTATCTACTGCTGCTATCTACTGCTTCTATCTACTGCTGCTATCTACTGCTATCTACTACTGCTATCTACTGCTGCTATCTACTGCTGCTATCTACTGCTATCTACTGCTATCTACTGCTGCTATCTACTGCTGCTATCTACTGCTGCTATCTACTGCTATCTATCTACTGCTATCTACTGCTGCTATCTACTGCTATCTACTGCTGCTATCTACTGCTGCTATCTACTGCTGTTATCTACTGCTGCTATCTACTGCTTCTATCTACTGCTGCTATCTACTGCTATCTACTACTGCTATCTACTGCTGCTATCTACTGCTATCTACTGCTGCTATCTACTGCTGCTATCTACTGCTGTTATCTACTGCTGTTATCTACTGATGCTATCTACTGCTTCTATCTACTGCTATCTACTGCTATCTACTGCTGCTATCTACTGCTTCTATCTACTGCTTCTATCTACTGCTGCCATATACTGCTATCTACTGCTATCTACTACTGCTATCTACTGCTGCTATCTACTGCTGCTATCTACTGCTGCTATTGCTAATGTATGTTGATGTTGATGTTGATGTGATGTTGATGTGGTGTTGATGTGATGTTGATGTGATGTTGATTTGATGTGATGTTGATGTGATGTTGATGTTGATGTTGATGTGATGTTGATGTGATGTTGATGTGATGTTGCTGTGATATCAGTAGCCCATGGCTTCATGTTGCTCAGCATGACCATTTGTGCAACTACAGACACAGCACATGGGACACACACACACACACACTGACCACTGTGTCATAAAAATACAATATACGGTATTTTAGGTGTTTTACCATTCAAAACTGTATTGCTTGTGCGCTATGGGTACATTAGGTACATTGAGTACTCAGCCTAACAAATACAATGTTTCTACTGCTGCTATCTACTGCTGCTATCTACTGATATCTACTGCTGCTATATACTGCTATCTACTGCTGCTATCTACTGCTATCTACTGCTGCTATCTACTGCTATCTACTGCTGCTATCTACTGCTATCTACTGCTGCTATCTACTGCTGCTATCTACTTCTATCTACTGCTGCTATCTACTGCTGTTATCTACTGCTGCTATCTACTGCTATCTAATGCTGCTATCTACTGCTGCTACCTACTGCTGCTATCTACTGCTGCTATCTACTGCTGCTATCTACTGCTATCTACTGCTATCTACTGCTGCTATCTACTGCTGCTATCTACTGCTGCTATCTACTGCTATCTATCTACTGCTATCTACTGCTGCTATCTACTGCTATCTACTGCTGCTATCTACTGCTGCTATCTACTGCTGTTATCTACTGCTGCTATCTACTGCTTCTATCTACTGCTGCTATCTACTGCTATCTACTACTGCTATCTACTGCTGCTATCTACTGCTATCTACTGCTGCTATCTACTGCTGCTATCTACTGCTGTTATCTACTGCTGTTATCTACTGATGCTATCTACTGCTTCTATCTACTGCTATCTACTGCTTCTATCTACTGCTTCTATCTACTGCTGCCATATACTGCTATCTACTGCTATCTACTACTGCTATCTACTGCTGCTATCTACTGCTGCTATCTACTGCTGCTATTGCTAATGTATGTTGATGTTGATGTTGATGTGATGTTGATGTGGTGTTGATGTGATGTTGATGTGATGTTGATTTGATGTGATGTTGATGTGATGTTGATGTTGATGTTGATGTGATGTTGATGTGATGTTGATGTGATGTTGCTGTGATATCAGTAGCCCATGGCTTCATGTTGCTCAGCATGACCATTTGTGCAACTACAGACACAGCACATGGGACACACACACACACACACACTGACCACTGTGTCATAAAAATACAATATACGGTATTTTAGGTGTTTTACCATTCAAAACTGTATTGCTTGTGCGCTATGGGTACATTAGGTACATTGAGTACTCAGCCTAACAAATACAATGTTTCTACTGTTGTTATTGTTATCATCAAGCTATAATCTCACCAGTGGACTGCTGAAGGCTACTTCCCCCTGGGCACTTCCTGTGTCCTTGTTCCTGTGATGGCCGCCGCCGCTGTGAGGTCACTGGGCGCCATGGCAACATTGTATTACTTCTGGGTCATGGTCATGTTTGTCCTCCAGGGTCCATCCTGTTCGTGAGGGGAGTGGTCTCTGGTGGAAGATGACCTCTTCCTCTGTGTCATCAGCCTCCTCAAGGACAGCCAGACGGATGGCTGGAGAGGAGAGACAAAACGTATTCACTGTACTGTACACTCACTCAGTTAGTAGATTTGTTTGTACTGTAGAGCCAACTCCTGTTGATATTGAACGATAATAGGAGTTGGCTAGACAGCACAAACAGATCCTGGAGCAGATTACAGTTAGTAGACTACAGATTCAGATTAAACTAGAAAGGGTACATTTTCATTAAGAAAAAATTTGTGAATTGCTTCAGCTGTCCAGAAGTATTTTTATGTAAGTGGAAAAAGTTTTGAAGTAAAAAATTGTTAGAGGCTAATCTTGGAACGCAACGACTATTCCTTCACAAGCTGTCTTTAGACTAGTACAGACAGTGTCCAAAATCTGTCTAGCCTTCTACCTACTAAAACTACAGACTGTGTACTAATCATATTACATGTTATTTACAACGTACTGTTTAGTAGAAATGTGTTAGTACTGGTGCTAGGACCCCCTAATTAAAACTGCATCAGCATTTCAAGGGCCTAGTTCAAGGCCAGAGCCCCACAATGTTCTGCTCAGTCTTTCAAGACTGTAATGTTCTGAGAGGTATGAGGAAACAATGGGTTAATAACAAGAGAGAGGTAGATTCCCACAGCAGTATATGCTAGGCTGCAGTCCGTCTGGTTGAAACCAGGGTTAAAGTTGGTAAAGCCAGCGGGGTTTGTGGAGCTTGTGATGAGGATACGTAAAGTCACACTCCTTCATTTGTTAATACCATCAGAGACTGGACCACCAACAAACATGTTAACGATGCTGAAGCAAATCACATTACAATACCTAAAAATCAACTAAGTAGACAACTAGTGGAGGAGCTCAAATGACATCCAGTGACCTGGACGATCACAATCACAATCAACCAATGACTTTATAGTCCCAGTTGGGTCAATAGGTCATCGGATGGTATTTAATAGGTCATCGGATGCTATTCAACTGCTTTACAGTTCCCATTGTTTGTTACAGTTCCCATTGTTTATTTACAGTTCCCATTGTTTGTTACAGTTCCCATTGTTTGTTTACAGTTCCCATTGTTTCTTTACAGCTCCCATTGTTTCTTTACAGTTCCCATTGTTCTTTAAAGTTCCCATTGTTTCTTTACAGTTCCCATAGTTTCTTTACAGTTCCCATTGTTTCTTTACAGTTCCCATTGTTTCTTTACCATTCTCGTTGTGTGTGTACTCGGTCCCCATGATGGTGCATCGTCTGAACACCATCTTGTTCTCTGTGAGGGTACCAGTCTTGTCTGAGAAGACATACTGAATCTGTCCCAGGTCCTCAGTGGTGTTGAGGGCTCTACACTGGACTCTGCTGTCTGCCTCTTCATCATACAGGTCTATGTCGTTAGTGATGAAGAAAAGACCTGACCCGCCTTGACTATTTCAATGGATACGTACGGGGTGATGGGAATCAGGATCTGGAGGAGAAGGAAGAGGGGAGCATGGAGGAAGAGAGGGAGGAGAGAGGAAGAGAGAGAGGAGGAAGGAGGAGGAGGAAGAGAGGAGGATGGAGGAAGAGAGGAGGAGGAGAAGAGAGGATGAGGAAGAGGAGTGGAGGGAGAGAGGATGGAGAAAGAGGGGGAAGAGATGGAGAGGAAGGGGGAGGAAGAGGGAAGGGAGGGGAAAAGAGGAGGGACGACTGAGGAAGGGAGGGGAGAGGGGGAGAGGGGGAGTTGGAGGGGAGGAAGAGTCGGAAGGGTGTGGGGATGTGAGGGGTGGGGGGATTGGAAAGGGGGGGGGGGGGGGTACGGTTTTTTGGTTTTTTTGGGGGGGGACATGGGGGGGGGAAAAAAAGGATTTGGAAAAAGGGAAAAGGGGGGGAAAAAGGATGGGGGGGGGGAAAAAAAAGGTAGGGGGGAAAAAGGGAAAAAAAGGGGGGGGAAAAAAGGGAGGAGGGGGGGGGGGGAAAGGGAAGGTGGGGGGAAGGGGGGGGGGGGGTTTTTTTTTTTTTTTTTGGGGGTTTGGGGGGGGGTTTTTTTTCCCCGGTGGGGGGGGGGGGGGGGGGGGGGTGGGGGGGGGGGGGGGGGGTTTGGAGGGGGAAGGGGGGGCCCCGCCGGGGTTTGGGGGGGTTTTTTTGGGGGTTTTTGGGGGGGGGGGTTTTTTTTTGAGGGGGGGGGGTTTTTTTTTTTTTTTTTTGGGGGGGGGGGGGGGGGGGTTTTTTTTTTCCCCCCCCCCCTTTTTTTTTTTTTTGGAAAGGTTTTTAAAAAAGGGGGGGGTTTTTGGGGGGGGGGGGAAAAAAAAGGGGGTTTTTTTTCCCCCAACCCCCCCCCTTTTTTTTTTCCCCCCCCCCCTTTTTTCCCCAAACCCCCCGCTTCCCCCCCCCCCTTTCCCCTGCAAAAAAAGGGGGAAGACATGTAAACTGACGGGGGGGGGCAAACCCCCCCCTGGGGGGGGGAATGTCCCCCCAAAATGTAATGATTTTTTTGGGAAAGGGGGAGGAGAGGGGGTTGAAGGCGGGGAGAACGGAGCGAAAGGAAGTGGAAAAGGGGAAAAAATGGTTTTAAAAAAGGGCAAAAGGAGGGTAAAACAGGAAGAGAGGGGAAAAACAGGAAAGGGAGGGTAAGAACAAAAAAGGGAAAAAAGAGGGGAGGGAAGAAAAGGAAGAGAGGAGGTAAAAAAAAATGGGGGGCAAAATTTCGGGGGGGGTCGGGGGGGTCTCGGGGGGGTAAAACGGGGGGGGGGGCGGGGGGGGGTCGGGGGAGGGGGAAAAACGGAGAGAGGAGGGTAAAAACAGGAAGGGGGAGAGGGTAAGAACAGGGGAGAGGAGGGGAAGAAAAGGGAGGGGGGTAAAACGGGGGAGGGTTTCGATTTCAAAAGGGGGGGGTCCAAAAAAGGGGGGGAAGAAAAAGGAAAGGGGGGGGTCGGGGAGGGGGGGTAAAACCTGGGGGAGGGTTCCCCCCCCGGGGGGAGGGTAAAAACAGTAGGGGAGGAGGGTAAGACCATAGGGGAGGGGGTAAGAAAAAGAAGAGAGGGGGGTAAACGGAAAGGGGGGGGGAAAACGGGAAAAGAGGAGGGGAAACAAAGGAGGAGGGGAAAAAAAAGGAAAAAGGAGGGTAAGAACAGAAAAAGGAGGGTAAAACAGGGGAAGGGGGGGGAAGGAGTAGAGGGGGTAAAAACAGGGGGAGGAGGGTAGAACGGGGGAAAAAAGGGGGTAAAAAACCGGAAAAGGGAGGGTAACGGAAAAGAGGAGGGTAGAAAAGGAGGGAGGAGGTAAAAAAAGGAAAAGAGGAGGGGGAAGAAAAAGGGGAAGGGAGGGTAAAACAGAAAGAGGAGGGTAAAACAGGGGGAGAGGGGAGGGTAAAAACGGGGGAGAGGAGGGTAAGAAAAGGAAGAGAGGGGGGGTAAAACAGGGAAAAGAGGAGGGGAAAAACAAGAAGGGAGGGTAAAAAAGGGGGGAGGAGGGTAAGAACAGGAAGAAGAGGAGGGTAAGAACAGGAGGAGAGGAGGGTAAGAACAGGGGGAAGGGGGTAAGAACAGGAGGGGGAGGGGGTAAGAAAAGGGAAAGAGGGGGGGTAAAACTAGGGGAAAGGGGGGTAAAAACATAGGAGAGGAGGGGGAAAAACAAAAGAAGAGGTAGAACCCCTTCGGGGGGGTCGGGGGGGTTCGGGGGGGGGTCTTTTGGGGGGTCCCCCTTTTTTCCCCCTCGGGGGGGTTCCCCCTGCGGGGGGGGGGCGGGGGGGGTGCGGGGGGTTTTTGAACCCGAAAGGGGGGTAAAACGGAAGGGGGAAGGGGATAAAAAACAGTAAGGGCAGAATTTAACACCTCAGTCTTGTTTTCCCGCCCTCCATTTCCCACTTCTTTTTTGTTTTTTCATAGCTGAGGCCGGTAATGACGATGGGGACTAGCAAGTTTCAAAGTCTTTCCATAAAGGTCCAGGATTGGAAAAATAAACCCTTTGGGATTGGGCCGATCAAAAGTTTCAATTCTTCCTAAAGGTCCACGGATTTGGAACATAAAAATTGGGGCTGGACCCGACAATGTTTCAATGTTTCCCATAAAGGGCCACAGATTAGAACAAAACCTTGGGGGTTGACCTATCAATGTTTACCCCTAAATAAAGATTGCAAAAGGGGTTTTTCAAGTTTTTAATTTCTTTCCCATAAAGGGCCCCAGATTTAAAAATAAAACCTTTGGGGTCTGGGCCTAAACAATGTTTTAATGTCTTCTATAAAAGGGCCCCAGTTTAAAAATAAAAACCCTTTGGGGTCTGGACCCGATCAATGTTTTAATGTCTTCCTAAAAGGGGGCCCCCAAAAATTAGAAAAATAAAAACCTTGGGAAATTTGGGCCTGATCAAATTTCAATGTCTTCCTATAAAGGTCCACAGATTAGAACATAAACCTTGGGATCTGGACCTGATCAATGTTTCAATGTCTTCCTATAAAGGTCCACGGATTAGAACATAAACCTTGGGATCTGGACCTGATCAATGTTTCAATGTCTTCCTATAAAGGTCCACAGATTAGAACATAAACCTTGGGATCTGGACCTGATCAATGTTTCAATGTCTTCCTATAAAGGTCCACAGATTAGAACATAAACCTTGGGATCTGGACCTGATCAATGTTTCAATGTCTTCCTATAAAGGTCCATTGATTAGAACATTAACCTTGGCTAGTGAATGCCTTGTTTTGACCACGCCTCCTTCTCTACCTTGCCTCTTCCACCCATCCATGTGTTTATATGGACAGAAAAGAGCTGAAGCTCTGAGCTGTCCGATCAGGCCCAGTGTCTAGTTGGTTATTGGTTAGTTATTAACCGTGGGACATGAGTGTGTCCCCCAAAAACCACCATATTCCCTATTTAGTGCACTACTTTTAACCAGGGCCCATTGGGCTACATATCAGTATGTCGACCTACTGTATATGTTGACTTGGCTATATCAGTATCTAGACCTATATGTTGATGGGGAAAGTACAGTGGGGAAAAAAAGTATTTAGTCAGCCACCAATTGTGCAAGTTCTCCCACTTAAAAAGATGAGAGAGGCCTGTAATTTTCATCATAGGTACACGTCAACTATGACAGACAAAATGAGAAAAAGAATTCCAGAAAATCACATTGTAGGATTTTAATGAATTTATTTTGCAAATTATGGTGGAAAATAACTATTTGGTCAATAACAAAAGTTTCTCAATACTTTGTTATACACCCTTTGTTGGCACATGACACAGGTCAAACGTTTTCTGTAAGTCTTCACAAGGTTTTCACACACTGTTTGCTGGTATTTTGGCCCATTCCTCCATGCAGATCTCCTCTAGAGCAGTGATGTTTTTGGGGCTGTCGCTGGGGCAACACGGACTTTTCAACTCACTCCAAAGATTTTCTATGGGGTTGAGATCTGGAGACTGGGCTAGACCACTCCAGGACCTTGAAATGCTTCTTACGAAGCCACTCCTTCGTTTGCCCGGGCGGTGGTGTTTTGGGATCATTGTCATGCTGAAAGACCCAGCCACGTTTCATCTTCAATGCCCTTGCTGATGGAAGGAGGTTTTCACTCAAAATCTCACGATACATGGCCCCATTCATTCTTTCCCTTTACACGGATCAGTCGTCCTGGTCCCTTTGCAGAAAAACAGCCCCAAAGCATGATGTTTCCACCCCCATGCTTCACAGTAGGTATGGTGTTCTTTGGATGCAACTCAGCATTCTTTGTCCTCCAAACACGACGAGTTGAGTTTTTATCCAAAAAGTTCATTTTGGTTTCATCTGACCATATGACATCCCCAATCCTCTTCCTGGATCATCCAAATGCACTCTAGCAAACTTCAGACGGGCCGGACATGTACTGGCTTAAGCAGGGGACACGTCTTGCACTCAGGATTTGGGCGCCTGGCGGGTAGTGTGTATGATGGATAGGCTTTGGATTACTTTGGTCAAGCTCTCGAAGGTCAAGGAAAAGAGGGAAAAAAAAGAGGGGGGTGTAGGAGCAGGAGGTCCCATCCCACACACAGCCATTCCTGCCCCCGCTCCCCTACCCTCCATCATTCCCCAAGACTTACTCCCTCCCCCGCGTCTCTCCTATCACCCACATACTTCCACTCCCACCTTCCCTTGATCATCTCACCGCTCGTCCTTCCCCCCATCACTCCTAAACACACCACGCCACCCTCCGCCACTTCCGCCTTCTGCGACCCCTTACCTCTCTGAACCACCCCCCGGGTCGCCCTAACCGTTCTTGTGATCATTTTGACCCCATGGGGGTGAGATCTTGCGTGGAGCCCCAGATCGAGGGAGATTATCAGTGGTCTTGTATGTCTTCCATTTCCTAATAATTGCTCCCACAGTTGATTTCTTCAAACCAAGCTGCTTACCTATTGCAGATTCAGTCTTCCCACCTGGTGCAGGTTTACAATTTTGTTTCTGGTGCCTTTGAAGCTCTTTGGTCTTGGCCATAGTGGAGTTTGGAGTGTGACTGTTTGAGGTTGTGGACAGGTGTCTTTTATACTGATAAACAAGTTCAAAACAGGTGCCATTAATACAGGTAACGAGTGGGGGGACAGAGGAGCCTCTTAAAGAAGAAGTTACAGGTCTGTGAGAGCCAGAAATCTTGCTTGTTTGTAGGTGACCAAATACTTATTTTCCACCATAATTTGCAAATAAATTCATTAAAAATCCTACAATGTGATTTTCTAGATTTTTTTTTCTCAATTTGTCTGTCATAGTTGACGTGTACCTATGATGAAAATTACAGGCCTCTCTCATCTTTTTAAGTGGGAGAACTTGCACAATTGGTGGCTGACTAAATACTTTTTTTCCCCACTGTATATTAGACAGTATAATGTAGTAATTGTATGGTAATTCATGTAGGTTGACTTTACCTAGTGCTCCTATACGGCTTATGTATGGTTTACGAATATATTATCAAGTCTTTATGTAGGTGTGGATCCTTCAAATAATGTGTTACCATGATTGTATGGTAATTAGGGTCAACTGTAGGATCAATTTACCGAGCGCTCCTATAAGGCACATGCAGAACAGTAGAAAGACACAGACGAGCGCGTTGATGTTCATCTTGTGTTCCAGTTTGCTGCGTTAGTATCTCGGTCCATTGTTGTTTAGCGTGGACTTGGTCTCACGGCCTGGATGAAGAGATGAGCAAAACGCTGTAGTGTCGCCAGTGGTTTCTGGCAGTGGGTCACCAACTTGGCCAGCGGCGGGCCGTTAGTAAAGCCACTACATGGTTGCAAGCAGGCAAGTGTTTACTCAAAATGAGGATCATCATCTTTTCTGGTGTTCGAACTTAAAGACTCACATGTTCATAACGCTGTAATTAATTAATTAAATAAATGTAATAACTTAACCAGGAACGTAAAGATTTAACGGTAGAGCTCAGAGGTCAGAGGTTAAAGTTCCTATTCACCTGCATACACCACGAATGGTCTGTGTTTCTGATGGTGCACCCTCTCAGCAGCAGACTGTCAATCCCAAAGCCTAACTTCTTCTTATCAGCCTTCTCTCTGCAGAGAGACCCAGAGTAAGGAGGATCCTTTTACACTCACATCTCATTAGGAATCCATTACCCCATATATATTCTCCATGGGTGCATCCAAAATGGCACCCAAAAGTAGTTCGTCCAAAAGTAGTGCACTATATAGGGAATAGGATGCCATTTTAGACCACAGCCTATGAGTAATTCTCTCCCTTTATGGCCTAACTAACTGGACTGGAGAGTGGACATTGGAGCTGCTATAAAAGCTATGGGGCTCTAAGAAAGTCAATGAGAAGCTGTTAGAGCCATATAATAATTCTCTTTAGAGCATCAGGAGAGACACAGTAAAGTGAAGTTAATTAATTTAGCTTGGCTTCATTCATACACAACATGACTGGTTTGGTTGCACTCGTTGGATACAGTATAATTGTGTTGATGTTATTGACACTCACACGTAACCTTTGAAATGATTGAGGTTGTCGTCGGGCTTTTCAACGACTGCAGTGCTGTGGAAGTGTTGTGGCTCAAATGGAGAATCCTGAAAAGAAAAATACACACATTCAAACTGTTTAGGAGAATAATTATAATAATAATATGCCATTTAGCAGACGCTTTTATCCAAAGCGACTTACAGTCATGCGTGCATACATTTTTGTGTATGGGTGGACCCGGGGATCGAACCCACTACCCTGGCGTTACAAGCGCCGTGCTCTACCAGCTGAGCTACAGAGGCAGGAAGGACTGTTTCCCAGAACTGGGATGTGTTTAGATGGTTCCAGAATCCATTAAAACAAAACTGTAATTCCAGAAGCTTTCATTGTAAGTAATTAATACACAGACACATGCTTTCAAATAAGTTTGTGTGTCACTCAAGAGAGATGCATGGATGCATTGTATGTAACCCATCAGGGAGTTGTTCATCTGTCATAAATGGCTTGTTCTAGAAGCATGCTGTTGAGGGACATGTAACTATTACAGAGGAATACATGCTATGAAAAGCACCATGGTAGAATGTTTCTTCCCGTCCCTTCAACTTTGAAAGGAACCAAAGGAGAGATGGTGGTTAGGTAAAGAGAGAGGGTTGGAATAAAATAAGGAAAGAATGACTGCAAAGAGGAGGCCTTTCATAATGAAATGGTGAGGCCTTTCATAATGAAACAGTGAGGCCTTTCATAATGAAACGGTGAGGCCTTTCATAATGAAACAGTGAGGCCTTTCATAATGAAACGGTGAGGCCTTTCATAATGAAACGGTGAGGCCTTTCATAATGAAACGGTGAGGCCTTTCATAATGAAACAGTGAGGCCTTTCATAATGACACAGTGAGGCCTTTCATAATGACACAGTGAGGCCTTTCATAATGACACAGTGAGGCCTTTCACAATGAAACAGTGAGGCCTTTCACAATGAAACAGTACAGTCAACAACACAATAGAAATCTATATACAGTGTGTGCAAATGTAGTAAGTTATAGAGGTGAGGCAATAAATAGGCCATAGTGCAAAATAATTACAATTTAGTATTAACATTTATCTCATTTAGCAGACACTCTTTTCCAGAGCGACTTACAGTTAGTGAGTGCATACATTATTTTTTATACTGGCCCCCCATGGGAATCGAACCCACAACCCTGGCATTGCAAACACCATGCTCTACCAACTGAGCTACATCCCTGCCGGCCATTCCCTCCCCTACCCTGGGCCAATTGTGCGCCGCCCCATGGGTCTCCCGGTCACGGCCGGCTACGACAGAGCCTGGATTCAAACCAAGATCTCTAGTGGCACAGCTAGCACTGCGATGCAGTGCCTTAGACCACTGCGCCACTCGGGAGTATTAACACTGGAATGATAGATGTGCAGAAGATGATGTGCAAATAGAGATACTGGGGTGCAAATGAGCAAAATAAATAACAATATGGGGATGAGGTAGTTGGGTGGGCTAATTACAGATGGGCTGTGTACAGGGGCAGTGATCGGTAAGCTGCTCTGACAAGTGATGATTAAAGTTAGTGAGGGAGATAAGAGTCTCCAGCTTCAGAGATTTTTGCAGTTCTTTCCAGTCATTGGCAGCAGAGAACTGGGCCTTTCATAAATGAAACAGTGAGGTCTTTCATAATGAAACAGTGAGGCCTTTCATAATGAAACAGAGGCCTTTCATAATGAAACAGTGTCTTGAGATCCTCACCAAGGTGGAAAGAAAGAGGAGGACTTTTATTTTCAAAACAGGGACTTTTATTTGATTAATCCTCACTTGTGTTTAGAGTCCTGGGACGCCCTGTCTCTGTTTGAGGTTGTTCTCTCCATCCTGGGTGGCGGCCTCGAAGTGACACACCCCGTTAGGGTCGGAGGTGTGGAGGAGCAACAGGTCAGCTGGGAGGATCTCGTTAGACACCACCTTAACGAAGTCTCCCACCCTCACATCCTTCCAACGACGCTCCACAAAGTCCCCCTCCTTCCTGAGACCAGGGGGTGGCAGCGTTAATTAACTGTTATCATGTCATTTCAATAGGGTTTCAATGTGAATTAACTGTTTATTACATTTGTTTAATGGCGGATACTGTATGTTAATTTAACAAGATAACTCGTACAATTAGTCCAGGAGCTTATTAAACCTTTGTGTGTGAGAAAGTGAAATAATCAAATCAAATGTTCTGATATGATTATGGGGCCAAGGAGCATCTTTCTCAAGAAGAGAGAGGTTTATTGTGGCTGATACAGAACAGTGCATCTCTCTCTCTCACTCTTCATCCACCCCCCCCCCCTCTCTATCCATCGCTCTCCCCATCTCCTCGTCACGTCTCTCTCCTCTCCTCTCTCACTCTTCCCTCCCCCCCACCTTCCCCCCCCCCCCCCCCCACCCCCAACTCTCTCTCTCTCTCCCTATCTCTCTGCTCTCTCTCTCTCTCTCTCTCACTATTCCTCTCCATCACCCCGCTCACCCTCTCTCCTTCTCTCTCCTCTCCTCTCTCCCTCCTCTCTGTCTCTCTCTCTCCTTTCTCTGTCCTGAGGTTCTTTCTCTCTGTCCTGAGGTTCTTTCTCTCTGCCCTGAGGTTCTTTCTCTCTGTCCTGAGGTTCTTTCTCTCTGCCCTGAGGTTCTTTCTCTCTGCCCTGAGGTTTTCCTCTCTGTCCTGAGGCTTCTTTGTCAGCCTGAGTTTCTTTGTCTCTGTCCTGAGGTTCTTTCTCTCTGTCCTGAGGTTTTTTCTCTCTGTCCTGAGGTTATTTCTCTCTGTCCTGAGGTTCTTTCTCTCAGTCCTGAGGTTCTTTGTCCTGAGGTTATTTCTCTCTGTCCTGAGGTTCTTTCTCTCAGTCCTGAGGTTATTTCTCTCAGTCCTGAGGTTCTTTGTCCTGAGGTTCTTTCTCTCTGTCTTGAGGTTCTTTCTCTCTGTCCTGAGGTTCTTTGTCCTGAGGTTCTTTCTCTCTGTCCTGAGGTTCTTTCTCTCTGTCCTGTCCTGAGGTTCTTTCTCTCTGTCCTGAGGTTCTTTCTCTCTGTCCTGAGGTTCTTTCTCTCTGTTCTGAGGTTCTTTCTCTCTGCCCTGAGGTTCTTTATCCTGAGGTTCTTTCTCTCTGTCCTGAGGTTCTTTCTATCTGTCCTGGGGTTCTTTCTCTCTGTCCTGAGGTTCTTTCTCTCTGTCCTGAGGTTCTTTGCCCTGAGGTTCTTTCTCTCTGTCCTGAGGTTCTTTCTCTCTGTCCTGAGTGTCTTTCTCTCTGTCCTGAGGTTCTTTCTCTCTGTCCTGAGGTTCTTTCTCTCTGTCCTGTGGTTCTTTCTCTCTGTCCTGAGGTTCTTTCTCTCTGTCCTGAGGTTCTTTCTCTCTGTCCTGAGGTTCTTTCTCTCAGTCCTGAGGTACTCTGTGGTCGTGCAGTTTCACGGTGAGCCACACGCACAACCGTTTGCTCCAGAATGTAATGTGCTGAGTAACCAACCTCTATGACACAGACCAGCAGGTACACACAAACACACACACCACACACACAATGGGAGGGGACAACAGTAGACATATTTTTAGACCTTTGTTATTGTGTCTAGAGTAGACCCTCCAGACTTCTGCTATTCCTCTCCTATTATACACAGTCTGGTTATGATATTATGGGAATAATATTAGACAACAGAAGATGAAGAGGGAGTCCTCAGTACTCTCTCTGTCAGGCAGCACTGGAAGAGAGAGAATGTCCATTATTCTTCTGGCTATGGAGAGTGAAACTACTAGTCATGAACGTATTTATCCACAAGACACACTCATTTCCAAAATCACATTACTGCACTTTTATATTGTGAGAAGAAGGCCGTCCTGCCAAAACATCCATACCTGTCTATTTCTCTTGTCACGGTTTACTAAGCCAGAACCCAGAAGCAGACCAGGACAAGGTGAGTTGAAACGAATTTGAGTATTTATTTAACAGATTCAAAAAACGATGCAGAATAATCCAGGGGGACAGAGCGGGCGGCGGAGATGAGTTGGTGGAGGTGCAGTGGCAGATCCAATAATGGCTCGGCAGCCGCCGACAACCAGGCAGGGGTTGGGTGAAGGTTCCGGGAGATTGACTGCAGATAGAAACAAAATGGAGGTAAGTACACGGCAAGCCAAC